TCTACAGGTGGACAGAAGGGTAGGCAGGCTGAATGATTAGACATGCCTATGCAGGGGGGAGTGTGCCCATGACCATGTATAGAGTTGGCAGACAATGTTTCTACAAGTATATCTGTATGTTCTATAGAATTTCCAGGTATAAGTAAAGCTGACAAGGGACAAGATTGTAGTCACTTCTTCGCCACAGCCAGCTACCAAGAGAGAGTGAGTAGTTAGACCTGTGGGCTCAGGACCATGGTTGCAGGGGGCATCAATTCCAATTGGCATAACATCCACATCCTATTAGGTGAGTCGTGACTGGAATCTTAAAAGCTTTCAATCAGCCATCTAGATACAACAATGGGTCTGTCCTCATCCAGGGTAAATAAAAATGAAGAAAACCAAAAACGCATGGAAACAATTAGTACAAGGGACTGGTAACCATACAATCCTCAGCCTATATGACCAGATGGTGCCCGGCTACCACTGTCAACCACTTGCATGCATATCTATGTAGGAGATCCTGGATAGAGTGGGAGAACAATGTGGAACAAATGTCAAAATCCTTTAAAAAAAAAAAAAAGGGGGACCAGGTTTGCTGGTTTGATAGAGCCTGGTGGAACCCTGAGACTATGGCCCCTGGCTGCCTTTCAGTCTGGAATTGAACCCACTCCTGTGGCTTCTAGTCAAACAAAAGACAGGCATATGAGCTGAACATCACATTAGGTAGATACACTCCTTGGAGAAATCAATCATGGGAGAACAGAAAGGCTGTGTACGCACAAGGAGATAGTATGAGGGGCAGGAGTACATGGAAGAGAAGGACATAGGGATAAGTTGGCTATGGGGAGGAAGTGGAAAGAGAGCTGTTGCATTGTCAGAGATTACAGTCAATGTCATGAGACAAAGTGTATGTGAACTTCTGTATGGAAAGTGAATCTGCTCTGTAAACTTTCACCCAAATCACAATAAAATTTAAAAAATAAATAAAAAGTTTATAAATGGGCATGATGCAATGATGGGTCTCTCCTCATCCAGAGCAAAGAAGAATGAATAAAACCAAACACACATGGAAACAATTAGTCCAAGGGACTGGTACACCATGCAGTCCTCAGCCTGTATGACCATGAGACCAAAAGAACTAGATGGTACCTGGTTACAACTGTCAACCACTCGGAGGAGGATCTGTGTAGGAGCTGGATAGAGTGGAAGAACAATGTGAAACAAAACTCAAAATTATTAAAAAAGAAAGAAAGAAAAAGAAAATAGGCTTGCTGGTCTGCTAAGAGTCTGGTGAAACCCCTGAGACTACAGCTCCTAGCTGCTCTTCAGGTCTGGAATTGAATTGACTCCAGTGACTTCCAGCCAAATAAAAGATTGGCATATGGGCTGAATATTTACATCAGGTAGATACACTCCTTGGAGAGATCGATCATGGGAGAATAAAAAGGCTACGTATGCAGAGGGAGATGCATAGGAGGGAAGGACATAGGAAAGAGTTGGCTATGGGGAGGAAGTGGGAAGAGCTGTTGCCTCATGGGAAATTGCAGTCAACGTCATGAGACAAAGTACATGTGAACTGATTAGAAAACATATCTGCTCTGTAAACTTTCACCTAAATCACAATAAAAATTGAAAGAAAAAAAAAAAGGATCATTTCAACTGATTTCTGAGTACTTTCTAGTCCTGAGACTCATGATATCCTCTCACATGAGTGACTTTACATTTCTGCATGCTATAATTTCCATTCCTCATCTCTTAGTCTAAAGTTAAGAGAAATGTGCTGAGAAAGACTAAAGAAGGGCTCAATATGAATGAATGTGAAGACGAATGGATAACACACTGAGAAGGAGTGGCCATGTACCTGTTTCTTGATGTAGGGTGGCATTTTTGAAGTTCTTTGGACCACAACCTATAACAAGTACATTTTATACTGAGCAGTTATGAACCACCTTACAAAAAATAATGTCTTTTGTCCTTGCTTTCTGAAAGTTAACTCTTGGAATTTCCTGAGTAACTGAGGTACTTCTAATATATAAAACCTCCAAACCACAACTAAAGATTCCTTCTAATAAATATAGGCTGGCCAGATCAGGACCACTTACTAGCCTAACACCAACTAAACCAGGAGGCATGATTTAACCTATCAATCATATGCAATAAGGCTTCAATCATGACTAACTGATGAAGCCACTGAAGGTTCTGAACACAGAGACTCCAAGAGCTTCCTAGTTGGTGAAGGGAGGATGGTGCACCCTCTGGATTTGGAAGCTCTGCATTGGGAACTCTTCCAGACATTGCCCATGCATATCTTTTCCTTACCATGATCTTAAATTGTATCCTTATGAAATAATAAATCTGTAATCATACATATAGTAACTGCTGTGAGTTCTGTGAGTTACATCAGCAAATTTCAAATCCAAAGAAAAGTGGGAACCAGCATGTGAAACAAGGGAGACCAGAGGTGGTCCTCAAGCTATGGCTGGCATTCTGAAAAGGTAATGGGAAATCCCCTAATTTACAGTCAGTGAGGGTGTCATGAAGGAGTCCAGCTAGTGCAATGGTTAAGTGCTCAGCTGCTAATCAAAAGGTGGGTGATTCAAACCCACAAATGGCTCCTTGGAATAAAAGACCTGTGATCTTCTTTCATAAAGATTACAGCCTAGAAAACCCTTTGGGGCAGTTCTACTCTGTCATACAGGTCCGCATCGGTCTACATCAACTTGATGGCACCCAACAACAACAAGGGTATCGTGTGGACTCCTGAATATCCAGTTGGTGTCTTCCTATTTGGCAGTGTGAAGGACAATGTCTTTTCAACTCTGAGGTATGATCTAGCCCTTGGTGGCTAGGGGTAAAGAGGGAGTGCTGCACTGGCAGTTAGAGTCAGAGATGATTGAGAAGCAGGAAATGGGAATCTAATTAATCTTCAGATTTTGGATTATATCTAATCTTATCCACAAACAATACCATTACCAGGAACCGGAACAAATGCTTCACAAAACACTTATCCAATGTATGTTCTATTTTATTCTTTTCTAATTTATTTTCTTGTAAGTTAGTCATTATCCCCTGAAATGATACCTCAACCTATTAATCTTGACTTGTAGCTTGAAAACCACTGGTCTTGACCAGGGGTTAGCAAACTTTTACTGTAAAGGACCAGATAGCAAATATTATACACTTTGTGGGCCACATACAGGCTCTGTTGTAATGACTCCAGTCTGCCACAGTAATGTGAATGCAGCCAAAAGCAACACACGCACATAAGCATAACTGTGCTCCAATAAAATTTTATTTACAAAAACAAGTGGTGGACTAGATTTGGCCTCTGTGCACTGGTCTACACTATAACATATGAATTATTCATAATGAACAGTTACCATAGTAATATA